TTTAAACACTGCTTAAGTCAGCTAGATCATTTTGTTGTAACTCAAGATAAACTCTCTCAGGTAATGATAAGATAAAACCCTCAGGCAAGCAATTTTTTTATTTTTTTTGACCTTTCTCTGACTTAATTTTTAATTGATGAGTAGACTTATAATGGACTAATGTAAACTGTGATTGCATTTGGCTTTCTATGGATGTAAGTGTGAGATCTGATTTATCAATAACTAATATGTGGTAAATATTTTTTATATGAGAATGATGCAAATGATAATGTTAAACATGATCATGAAAATGATGCATAGAATGAAATGATATGATAATCGTAAAACGTGAGACTGGAAATGATGCATAGAATGGAATGATAATGTTATGATGCATAAAATCAAATAAACAAAATGGTTAGATAACAAATTGTTCCTTCTTGTGTCCTAATTTTATGTTATATCTATGGATGAGTAGGAATGGCTCTATCTTAGGTCGACTTCTTAAGGGTGAATTATATACAGAGTTAAGAGATTTTGACCACTAAAGGTTCTCAAATTATTCCTTACATCATCGTCCATCACAGACTAGTAAGGTAGTCTAATCTTCACCCATCAAGGCTACCAACGGAAAGAATTCAATTTGAGTGGAAGTATTTTGCTAATCATTGCGGAGATTATCATCTTACGAGAGCATAAGTACTTTACTCCCTCTTAAAAGGGACGGAGCCCAGGTATATAGCTCATGTAATTCAAATACAGGTGATAGTATGTGTGAAGGAACATATGGATTTCATGCCCTAAAAAAAATCAAATAAAAGTCAAAAAAGAAAAAAAATGTTAGTAAACAGATAACACAAATCATTAAAATTTAAAACCATTAAACCAAAAAATATGATAAATTCAAAAATTATGGCTTGACTTGCTAGCCTCCCCAGTGGAATCGTTAAACTGTCATAATATATAGATCCAAAAATCTATAGCTAGACTTAATAAATTAATGGAGTCGCCACCAATCTTTTTTTTACTAGATGTGATTGATCACCTAAGGAATCTATCCTTTTAAGGAGCTCTTAAACTTGACGAAGGGTCCTTAAAATAATAGGTTAGAGTCTACTAACCAAAATAGGTTTTGAGAGTTCGGTTACATGTGAGGAAGGTTATAGCACCTCCCACATGCCTATCCAAAGGATGGTATCATATTATTTCAAATTTATCCTATGGTCTTGAGTCTAATGGTTTCAAATTTTTATGTTAAATATTAGAAATAATTTATAAGATTCTTTCATCAATCTGGTAGAACTCTTAAAAATATTTTCTTACCTCAAGAATATTCAAGGATCCTGTTTGTTTCCTTAAAAAGGCTCCATCATCAGAAAAATTTTTGTTAGTTTTATTTTTTTGTTGAAAATATATCTAATTATTCCATCATTTTGGTCAAATTAAAAATATTTTCTTGTTTCGAATTTCTAAATTTTTTCACCATTTAGGCTTATTTAGAAATTCTTTTTAATTTTTTTTCATGGAAAGAAAATAATATGACAATTATTTTTATTAAAATTGCATCTAAATTATTCCACCATTTGAGCCAAATTTAGAGAAAATTTCTCACCTAGAGATTTTTTAGAAATTTACCATTTGAAATTTCTAAGAATTTCATCCTTAGGTAATTATCAAATATTTTCAACCAAAATTTTTTATTTGAAAAAAAAAATACAATTACTTGTATTGAAATTTCATCTAAATCATTCTATAATTTGGGCCAAATTTAGATCAAATTTCTCACCTAGAGATTTATTAAAAAATTTATCATTTGAAATTTCTAAGAATCTCATCATTGGGTAATTTGTATTTAATTCCAAAATTTTTTATATTTTTATGGTTTTTTATTTTATATTTTTTTGTTTGAAAATAAATATTAATTATTGTTATTGAAACTTTATCTAAATTATTCCACCATTTGGGATAAATTTAGATAAAATTTTTCACCTAGAAATTTTATAGAAATTTATCATTTGAAATTTTTATAAATTTCATCATTTGATGATTAATATTTATTCCTAAAATTTTTATTACTTTTTTTTTATTTTTTTTATTAAATTAGATCATGCAAAAATACTTTTAAAATAAACAAACACATAAAAATAAATTTTAAAAAAAATTAAAATTAAAAATACCAAAAAAAATGAAAAACTGCTTGGCTTGCGGATGAGATTCAGCACGGCTCGAAAATATAACTTGGTAATGAGCGGCTCAACTTGGCTCGGCTCTAAGGGATGGCCTAAGTAAAAACATGTGATCTTGGGGACTTATTAATACCAAAAACGACGTCGTTTTACGCTGATATAAAAAGCTAAAATCGGTTCTTTTTATCAAAATTTTCTTTCTCCTTCTCGTTTTTCCCCTATTTTCTCTCCCTCTCTTTAAGAAAACACAGTTTCTGGTTGAATATTTAATCAAAAATTGGAAAAGTATGCTAAAAATTGGAAAATCTTGCCCAAAAATTCAAGTTTGGCCAAAAAATTCATCGAAAAATTAATCGGATTCTGAAATTTTCAAAAAAATTCTCAGAAAAAATAATTGTCAAAATTTTGAAAAATTCCTAAAAAATCTAAAACTGTTTCTACTCTCTAAAACCTTTTTTTTTCTTCTGCTTTTTTTGTTTTGTGTCCTTTTATTTTGTATCTCGGCCTATATTTATAAGCATTGATCAGAAGAAATTTTTATCAATGCCAATTTCTTCTGTAATTGGGACTCAATCTTTGAGTCCAATTCTAAGTTCACCAACCCAGATTCACAGCAAAAAGATTCCTTCTAGAAAAAAATACTAAAAAAAATAAAATAATTAAAATACAATTCATAACAAATAACCCAAAAAATAAAAATTAAAAAAATGGGCCAATCTTGTCATGTTTGAACCAGGTCCAATTGATCCGAGCTTGGACCAAATTGGGTGTCTGCAATAAACAAAAAAAAAAATCAACTTGGAATTAAAAGAAAAAAATGAATGGATGAAATTAGGTAATAGACCTATGAAAGCAATGGTTGATAGAATATGTTACAGCATGTATTATATATGTTATGGGATGTATCTTTAATAAAAAAAGATTGAATTTTTAGATTTCATATAATTAAAATCAATTATAATAGTTCAATTCAAATGGAGAAAAGAAAATACTTGAACAATAAATAAAGTTATGTAACTATTTAAGCAACCAAAATAATATCATTTCAATATTAAGCAAAATGAGTGCACCAAAATCAAAGTAGTATCGATGGAGTAACATAAAGGTAAAACCAATGCAAAGAAAGATTTTGAGTTTGAATTATATTATTATACTTCACAATATAACGAAGTATAGATATGAATTCAAAATGGAATTAAAAACTAAAAATAAATATTTGATTAAAAGAAGTCAGCACACTTAAATTCAAGAATATGGTGCATTAAAATAACAAAGTATAAAATTACCATTAAGTGGTTAGCTTAATTGGTTAAGACTTGTCCTCTTTAACGAAAAAATTTTGAGTTCGAGTCCAGTTGGTGACCACTTATTAAAGTCATCTCGAATGCGTAACTTGCAGTCACTTATCTTGGACTGTCAAGTATGACACATTTTATTCTGACCTTAGAGATTGAACAACCTATCTATCTTCGAAATTTTTTTTTTTAAAGTATAAAATTAATTTTCAAGAACTACACTAATAAAACAATCAAGGATAGCAATTGAAATCATATAAAAAATTATCTTAATCTAACTAAAGACAGATGTGCATCTTATTGGGAATTTTGGCTAGAGGTTTGATTTAATGCTACAATGATAATTTCATTTTTGGTTTTTCGAGGAGATTTTTCAATACCACTTGCATGAGTGCTGAGTTGTGGACTATAAAGGATGGCTTGCAAGCTGTTGCTAGCCTTGACTTTCTAATATTATTTTGGAAATTAATTCTTAAATGACCATTGATCTTTTAAATTCTTGTCATAATAAAGTCGTTTTTTATCTATCTTTAAAAAAAAAATCATTCTTTATGTGTGTTATTTGATAATTGAAAATATTTTAGGAATAAACTGTAAGTTCAAGTGATGAATGATACATAGAAAAATTATTTTACCGGTATACTTAACAAAACCGGTATACTTAACAAAAATAAAGCCAACCAAGTAGAGATTTTTATGTTTATTTTACTACATTTGAGTTTATTATATTAAATCTGTTGACAAACAAATCTCAAATAAAATGAAGTTGAAATATTTAAAATAACAAAATAAAGAAATATCATCAAATAAAAAAAAAACATAATAAAATTTTAAATAAAGGGAAATAGCATGGAACAGAAAAATAGAAACAGTTAAAAGAATTAAAATACCTGAAATTTTTTAATTTGGAGATTATATGATCAAGTCTATCCCCGGTTCCAACTTGATCACCATCTCGGCAGTGTCATTAAAAATGATTATAGGGACAATTTAAGAAGAAATGGTAATATGTAAGGATATTTTGGCCAAAAGGAATAAGAGAAGAATCTAAAAGAAAAACATAAAAGGAAAATGGTAATATGCTGTTGCTTGAGGGTTGGACCAACATATTGACAAAACCACGAAATGGCATTGATTCGTTTGTCGCTGGGGAAGCATGTGAGCCAGGGAAGACACTAGGTCAAGGGAATCCGCAAATGGGTATCCAACTTCAAAGTTTTGTCCGATGAAATTGTTTGGAGTTTTCTTGAGTTTTGGGTCCCACCCACCTACTTTTTTCGTTGGTCATTGCTCTGCCGAGTTTTATTACTTCCTCCTTTCACAAAATAAGTGGGTGGCTCGGTGCATTCAACAATTTGCTCTTTTTTGTTGCTTTGTGTTTATAACTGTTTCGTGGTAATTTCTGTTTCTTGTATACGTAATTAGAATAACAAAGATTATCAATCATTAATTGTAATATAAGCTGCACAAAATTTACCTTGCTAACAACATTTTCAATTAGAACTACCAAAAAGAAACTTCAAATAAAAAGAACTCATTTAATCCGCTTAAATTTGAATCCAATTCGGTAAAATTTGACAAAAAAATCTAACTTGAGTACATAAATATAGCAGAATTTTCTACTTATAATCCATTAATTTTAGATTGAATATCCATGTTAAAATTTAACACAGAAGCGCTCTTAAATCGCAGAAGTTACTGGTTTTCTTTACAATGTCTCGTGACAAATTAAAACATCATGGTTACAACTTACAACTCCAATCACCTTCTTACAACCAAAAAACAAAAAGAAAGAAAAAGGAAGTAGGAAAAGAGAAGAAAAAAATTTGAAAGGAGCAAAGAGTAAAAGAGATACATTTATATGAAACAAATTTAGGATGTACAATAAGACAACATTGTTCCTCCAGATTCACCATACTCTTACCTTTGGTTATTTCCATGGGGGTGACGATGGTTGTTTGTATACAAAATCCTGAGAGGATGTGCCGTAGTTCAGATCAAGGTTGTGGAGCTGTTCCATTAGTTGGGAACGCCTTTCCTTGAAAAAATCCAGCCGGCTTGTTAATTCTACCAGAGCAGAAGAAGCTGCTGATGGATGTCTTGGATAATCAATCACCTGCAAAGGACAACATCATCAGTGTCAGTATTTCATGCTAGAATTAATCGGGTGTAAATTGGGTGATCTGCCACTTAAAAGGTTTGAAGTGAGAGTCAAGCTTCACATAATTGGATTCTGATGCACATCTTTCAATGGTTAAAATTGAAAGAGAAAGGCACAAATATCAGTCACCTACAGAATAGAAATAGGTAGCCAGTCAAGTTACCTCTGCTGCCCTTGACGTGGAAGGGATAGAGGCAGAATCAACCGTACAAAGCTCATCCATAGACATATTTGCTGATGCCTCGGTACTTTTTGAGTCAATTAAGCTTGTTGAATCCGTAAATTGCTTTCGAGTAGGCTGCCTGCTGCTGCTGTTGCCAACCACCATTCCCTGTCCTTTAATATTTCCCCAGTCTGTCCCTATCAAACTCTCCTGCACAACAGTTTTAAAAAGCATATTTAGAGTGCATAAAATGAGGAATGAACAAAAATATCCGAAGGGAGAGAACCAAAAAGAATACATAAAATGCTGGAGTTCAAATGAATAAGAGAATCAGTTTAACAGGAATGGATGCAGAAAAACTAAAGCATTAACTGACCGGCTCATCATAAATTTACTTTTACCATCATTAGCAATAAAACTCCTTGAATTCCAGCATCAGGATGCAAAACACGTCAGTCAATTTTATATGCAAAGGACATATCTCCAGAGCAGATGGCTCACTAGTTGACACCAGGTAAAAACTTAAATAGAGCACACTCTGATGTTTGTGAAATTCCATAAAATGGGTATTTGCTTTTTTGTACATGTTTCAAAGCTTTAAAAACCCATATAATCTAGAAATTCATTCCTTCCAATAAGGTACACTCGAACATTAAAAGAATCTCTAGAAAATACCATAGATAAGGAAGGAAATTGAGCCAATTGAGGAAAAAAAAAGGACAATCTGCCTATAACTCTCCTTAAGAGGATGAAATCACTTAGCACATGCAGCAAGTTTGGTTAAAAGGGCAAAATGGCAGAAGTATAAACAGGGCAGCAATGCCAGTTCTTTTGTTTAGCTCCCATATGGCTCCTTGACAAGGGATTTTACAAAGGATGAATAAAATTGCATTCACAAATTTGTCAAGTAGGCAAAGAGAAGTATAATAACATTGTGTTTAAAAGTATACCACAAGAGCATTGATTTTATGCTACCGTATGTTTATCGACCTAAGGCAATGTTCAAACAGCAGAACCTGGTAAAACCACTAAAGCCCACTAGCCATCTGTCCGTGGTTCCAAGATATCACAAGTTTTAGCTACTAGTTTGCTAAAGCATGAACAACATACGAGGTATAAATATTTTCATACTATTTAATTGGATTACCATACACTTAAAGGTATCCTCCTAATACCGGATAACTTTATGTAGGAGAACGTACAATAAATATGTTCAAACTATTTAACTGGATTACAAGAACACAGCTATGAAAGAATAACAAGAACATAAAAAAATCGAGGGTAAGTTTGGTAGGATAACCAGGAATGGAATTCAATGCAACTATCATACAGATGTCTTCACCATTACAGAATTTTAGAATGGAGCAAACTGCATCAGCATATTCTGAATATATGTTTAAAAATAGGAACTCCCCTCTTGCAGTGCCTTTTAGATGCAAGGAACAAACAACAACAATCTAAGTGTCAGGGCTTCTATTTTGTAGATTTTGGCGGTGAAGCCCAAATTATGATACTCGTAGTATCAGTGGGAATGGTGCCTTTGAGAAGAAAGTGGACAAGTTTGAAGCAGGAGAGAGTAATCAGTTCAACAGTTGAGGTGACTGAGGAGTCCAACAAAGCATAAACATGCCAGACCACCCAAGATACAGAAGAATTGGTGGTTTGAGAAGAAAGAAGTTCAATTGGTGCACTGCAAGTCTTATCATCAAGTCTCCAACACTTTCAGCAAGGGAAGATTGATGTCATTTGGAAGAATGAAGGTGATGTTCGGAATGAGACCAGCCAACATTTTCAAGCTGCTCTAAGTTACAGCACATCACCTCTGACCAACAGCCACTACGCACAATGGCAGCCTCCTCTCTGTCCTCCTTTCTTTTTCTTTCCTATTTCTTCCCCTCGTCCAACCCCTCTCTTGCTTCAAACTTTATATCAAATCTTGAGTTATACAACAGGCAGAAATACACCCAAAAGTATGAAACACATTCGCCTCAGTCTGCTGCTGTGTGGTTTTTTTGCTTGAAATCTTGGTCAATTACTTTGATTAGAGATTTCAGTTCATAGGGGTTTTGCCTACTGTTGGGGTTATGTTGGACAAATGGAATTGTGTTTTTTGCTTGGAAATTTGGCTGAGACTTGAGTGTTTGTGTTTGCTACTTATGTTTGCAGTGTTTTGAAAACTCTTCTAGAATTTTGATATTTTCAAAATCATCCCCCACCTTATTTTCTCCATTTTCAGTATCTTTTTTTTTTTTGGTTTTTCCTCAAATCTTTTTCCATTCAACATTCTCATTTCAGGCCTAAAGCCTAAAATCTTAAAGCCCAAACCAACAAACCTCCTTCCATTTCCATTTCGGATCCACAGCCCAAAATGAAAAGAAAACCAACTACTAGTGGGTCATCCAAAAAATTCAAGAACACTAAGCCCTAAGGGTTTGACCAGGTTTTAAACCAATTAGGGCTTAGGGTCCCAGCCTCGGTCAAATGGCTGGGCCATACTGGTTCCAAAACACTTGGCAAAACAAAATAATAAAATGATGAAAGCTTACAAGACTAAATTCTTAAAATTTTTCCTTAAATGAAATCCCGAAGTCCGATTCAATTGCATTGATTTTTTAAAAAAACATATTGAAGACATACCTCTGTTCTTTGTTTCCTCTCATGATTACAAAAAGCAAGGGTTGTGTCAAAATCTTGCCGAAGAAACCTCCTGCAGACATAAAAAGAATACATTTTAAGTACAGGGAAGGGAAGTTGTCTAAAATAATGAGTCTAGACTCTTTAGCATGACAAATTTGATAGACATCTAATTTTTACCATTTTGGGTAGTTAAAGAGTGGCCAGTAAAAAGTGCATCAAAAATGTTAAAACAATGTATAAATTATCAATCGTTAGAAAGCCTCCAAAATCACCATATTACATGTAATAACAAACATTACCCAAAAAAAAAAACCCTTTCATAACCATGCAGAAAAAGTTCTCTTGCCCTCTCTAGGATTCAATTGTTGGGTTTTTTAAATTTGGTAGTAACTACATTCCCTTACAAACCTCTAACCCAAGCCTAGTTAGCTTAAGATTTTGGCTTTAATGATTTAGAAGCTAATAAAAGATGGCTCTCCTCGCTCTCCTTCCATACTCCACTCAACAAAAGCCACCTATAAGGAAGACTGTTTTTCAATACATCTTGTAAGAACTTCATATTCTTAAGGGCTTGAATTCACCTTGATAGCCAAAGAATTTCAAAAGGCCTTAGTATTTAAAAGATATTTGTCAAGTCCCCTGAAGTAAGCCCAACATCATGCGGAAGAGTAACTGTTGTATACTTGCATGACAGCAGAAAAACACAATATTCATGCACATAATATTTAGGCTAAAATGATATTTTGGGTTTCAGAATCCTCAAGGGGAGCTTAAAAGATAACTCCTAATTCAAGGAATCAACAGGATGAAAACAAGTCACATGACGGTTTCGTGCACCAATAGGCAAAGATATAAAAAACATCTGACAAAAGGCAATTTTGAAAGCTTAAACCAGTATTGAAATGAGTCATTTTAATTGGTTCCTTGAGAAAAATCATTATGACCTCATTGAATCTGCCATGTAACTGCCTACTAAGCTTACTCGTTTAGACATTTTTAAAACCAGTATTGTAAAGAATTCCATGAACTCACTGTTGAGTGTTATGATTTTGGACATGTAGATAATGGTCACATGCATCAGAGAGAGAACCGTAATGCCGCTGCCTTTGCTGATTCAGCTGATGATGGAGTTCTGCAACCTTCTGCTTCAATCTAGCCACATCAGCTTCAGCAAGAGCAATCTCCTCAAGCTCAGCCCTCGTCTTTATATCAATTTAAGTAATAAGAATGATGAATGCTAGAATTTAAAAGAAAAATGGTACTCTTGACATCCTTACAAACCTTGGAATCCATTCCATGGGAACTAGAAATTTGTCCAGTTGAAATGCTCAACCCAACTTCAAGTGCCGCTCTAAGATCCCTTTCAGCTTGTAGCTGCTCTTGCAATCTCGAGACCTATAGAGTCATTTATAGGTAAGTAGGAACACAACTTTGGGAACATAATTCTTTAATAAAAGGTTAGATAATTGTATAAGAAAAATCATTTTCTTAACAAGAAAGAAGATAGATATATGTTCTCTTTTAGAGATTCAGCACAACACTTTTAGTTCATATGGTATGAAAATTAACACCCCCTTAGTTGTTCTGTAGTCTGAAAAAGTTGTGCAAAAGAAATTCAACTCTCCAAGTGTTACTTGAGTATAACTATTTAACAACAAATGCAAGCCAGAAAGTCTTCAAGTTAACATGACTCCCTGCAGACTGAACTTCATTCAATCATCTAAGGCCATCATCAGCTAAGAAACCCTCACTACCCAAAGGTATTATATACTGGGAAGTACTTAAGAAACAGTACAAAGAAGATATTTGACAGCAGCATGAGCCCATTGGGTTGTACCGTCCAGAAAATTTTGAAACTTTTTCTCTTTCAAACAGGTCTAAGAAAGTTCAGAAATATAACATCTTCAATATCAAATTGAATAGTAAGGCCAAATAGAATAATCAGATGGAGGGAACATAAGAGAGACACAGTTGTGGTTTTTGATAATAGGAATAAATTTACAATCAAAAGACAGATTCTACCTATTGCGGTAAAATAAAGTTTAGAAGCTATTTTCTCATTAAAGTAAAAAACAACCAAGAAAATGTATACAAGCAGGCCTAAGTAAATCATGTACTACTAATCCAAAATGATTGCAAAGTAAAAGTTCCTAAGATTCAACTCCTTGCAAAGCATTTAGTGCAAAAATCAGCAAGGAGATTAAAAGAAAAAAAAAATCTGAGCAAAAACAAGTTTTCAATTGGTAAGAAAGAAATACATCTTGTTCAAGCGCCAAGCGACGATCATGCAAAGCTTGTTTTCTTCTTTCCAAACTTGCTTGTAAAATTGCATTCCCTCTAGCCTACAATTAATAAGCAATCTGTCAGCTGAAACAGAAAACATTTCTCTACTTGGGCATAGGATGATTTCAAAAAGTAGTGCTACCTCTTTTGCAATACGATGTTGCAGGTCATTCTTTGTGATCTCAAGCCTCTGTATAGCAAACCTATAAAACATTCACCAAATTGGTTTTGCTATTATAATATAGCTTACATCAGTTCTAATATAAGAACTCAACAGCACACTGTTTTAATATATGGACATCTTACAACACTATCAAGTCAAAATCAGAAGTAGATAGATTTTTAAGATGATTACTAAAAGTCATGCTAGGGCTAAGCAGGAGTTGCAAAAGCACAAAGCCTGAGTAATAGTTTTCAAATGCAGACATACTAGTTAAAAGGAGTGCAAATAATAAAGCTGAAAGCAACAAGATTTAATTGAGTATCTTACTCTTCTTCGCCAGAAGAATCAACAGATTCCATTGACGGTGTCTTTCTGACCTGTATAATGAAGTCAATGAACATCCATGTGAGTACAGTTTTACTCAATGAACCAAAACTGTAGAAAGGAGATTAAAACACCTCATGGTGTTTCCATGTGTGAAACCAAAGCATATGAATGTCCACTAACAAAATAAGGAATAAAGTTTAAGTTGCACAGATGCTTTAAGAGAAGAGCAGTAATAGTTTGTAGAGATATACTCATTCCTCTATATGCTCTAATTACAGAGAAAGAAAAAGATTGCACGTTGTCAAGCCAGTCAGATATGTAAATTACGCAATTCTTAGAAAACAGAAAGGATTTTCATTAAGATTGACATTTCTTGGCTAGTTGATGCAGCAATCATATTTGCCATTTTTTTATTTGAGTGCATGAAAAAAAGCAACTCTCCAAATGAGTGCAGGACCAAAAGAATTTGTCAAGAGTTACTACAATTAGTTAAGAGAAAATTTATCCATGCAAAGAAATAGGGGCACTGAGGACAGTTTGATACAAATTGAAGCTATCTCACCCAGAAACATTAAATTGAGAATAATAAATGAAATCTCCAGATGGTGTGGAGCGTTATCTATTGAACAATAGAAATAGTCCGGCCTTGCAGGTCTAGGCACTATGTTTGTTGTTGAGCTTTGCATGCTGGGTTTATCAAAAATAATATAAAAGCCAAAAAAAAAAAAGGAAATAAACTGTGTAATGGAAAATCCTTGAACACAGCATCGAGACACAAAGCATAGATGCAACAATGAATAAAGCCTTTAACTTAATTCTTAAGACTCTTTTCAAAGATCAATTTTTCTAATCCCCATGGTTACAAAATTTATCAGGACATAGATTTCGTTTAAGTTAATACACCATATCTAAAATCCATTCAGAAATTGCTTGAATCACTGTGATGTGTCTAATGCATGTAATTTGAGAGTTCCTTGCAATTAGAAAATGCATCATAAAATGGTCACTCACATTGCTTCTTCCCCAAAATGTTGATCTCTTTGCATTAAGACTGGAGCCTTTAGCTTTACCAACTGGCTTCTCAGTGGAAGATTCAAGTCCAGGCACAGATATAGGATAGCCAGGATCCATTGAAGACAGAATCTCACCCATTGATCGATAAGATTCACCAGTAGGTAGCAAACTTGGGACATCTATCTCATTAATTGGATTTTCATTTCCTTTATCTAGCTTACCTTGTTCCTCCAGCTGAGCATCAGGATCTCTCATATGTAGAGTTTCTACAGCTAAGCTTGAACTCTCAGCCTGAGCATGATTGTCTCTAGGGGATTCAACATCTGAACCATCATCCCCAAATGCCTATACACAAAAATATGAATGTACCAATTAGTTAAAGGGATTATCAAACAAGTTCTGCAACTGTTTGAGTAAGAAGTAATGAACAAATCAGTATTAAACTTAGCATCCACATTGTGAGCAAAGTTTACACGGATAATTTGAAAGGAAAACCTATAATGAAAACAAGAAAGCTTCCTTCATTCAATCTCCAGTCCTTTATCAAGCTAATTCCTAGAGTGCAGCAATAACCCTAAACTAGATGGGTAAGTCTCATGTGTAAAAGCATGCTCTTCATAGAATACTTGAGTGAAATTTTGCTTCACTATTTCAAATTCAACGCATACAATTTTAAACTCGACCCCTTTCTTTTTCCTTCTTGTGGCGGCAAATCATTCATTAGTATAGTGCACAAAATGAAACTATCTACACTATGGTTCTCCTAATTAACCCTCACTGTTTTTTCATAACATAGGGATAACTTCTTTTTCATCTTTTATATTGCATAAACTGACAAATCCATCTCAAAACTACACAATTAAACTGCAGATTCTATGACTAGTATGCTCTACCATATCTCTTTCATGGATAATTACAAGCCTAGATACTTGTTTGTAGGACATGATTCTTATAGTTGTAGAATCACAAAGACAACACTCTGAAAGAATCAAAACATATGATTCCCAGCTGCAGAGTATGCACAAAAGGAGATGGACTGTTATTACATACGAAGCCCATTAACTTCTCAAGTTCAAGACAAGAGTACTATGCAAACAATCAAAACAATCTTTAACTAACTGCCATTTCCAAGATATCCTGATGTCATTTCTGAACATTGATCATCACAATGGACATCATAACAATTTCTCATGTTAAGTCAGTCAAAGGTGTATGTGCATGTGCAAAGCTTTCCATGGGTGGCACCCGGTTGACATTGAAAACCTAAGCCTGAATTTGACCCAAACCTGCGATTCCTATTATGCTTACTATTAAAATAATAAAAGTGTTTTATACATTTTTAATTATATTTTAAATTTTAATAAAAATATATTATTACTATAAAAATAGCATTGGGCCAGACCCGGGCCTAAAGATTCATGCCCAAGCCCAGGTCAAGTCAGGCCAGACCCTGGCCAAGTGGACACCTCTAGTGTGCACTCATGGATGAGTAAGCTTTATGTTTTTATATTGGACGAAAGGGTGACAAAGAACCTTGTAGTCATACAGATCACTGCCTGCATAACCACTGCTTTCACTTAATTTCCCACTGAGAACACATTGAGGATCATCATCTGTGTCTGGATCAGCTTCATTTTCTGCATCATGGTAACCATTGTCTTTCATATCAGGATTTTCATCATCAGTAGAATCTTCACTAGCACTGTTTTCAATCCTGGAATCAGCTGAAATAGAACGTCTTTGTAGATTTTCATCCTGAAACAACACAAATAATCACCACAAATAGCACTATACTAAAGGAGACCACAAGCATACGTTAAAAATATTTTGAAACTAGAATTATGAGAAAGAAATCTTCACTATCATTAGAAATATTACAAAGGAGGGACAAGCTTTCAATAACAGCATCAACAACTCAAGTTTACAACTACTCAGTAAGAAAGCATAAAATGACATTCTCATCACATTCACAGTGGCTGTACTAGCTGATTATGAAATTCATTCAAATCAAAAGAGTTCTAAATGAGTTTGTGCTTAATTAACACTTATAGGTAGCTGGCTATAAATGTTATGATATAATTTCAAGCATCCTAAGTTTATACAACTTCTTCCTCATGATATATCATTTAAATATAAACTTGGGTATGAATTATTCTAACAACAGTTTTAAAAAGGATACACTCAGGTTTTATCATGTAGCATAACAAATCATAGAGAACGCATTTAGATTGATATTTCATATCAAACAACAATGAAGCTGGGAGCATCTTACATTAAAAATATTCTCATACTCCTCCAAAAGAGTTGTAATGATGGCATGAGCATTATTAGCAGCATTTGCAGCAGCAAGAAGCTGGGCAGAGTTATCGCCATTAACATCAAAGTCATCCTCAAACTCACATAGACCAGCTAATAGGGGGCGTAATAGCAAGGGTGCCATGCAAGCAGCAACAGCAGATGGAGTCATTCTATTCTCATGAGAATGAGATGAGATTGTATGCATCATCTTCAGAATCCTACAAAACATGATACATATCATGTTATATAAATCGATAAATATTTATAAGAACTTCCATGTATCTTACAAAGCATAACCAAGTGAGATAACTAGATGGCTAATCCCATACTTTCTTAGCAATGAATCACAAATTAGCATCTACTTTTGTGTCAAAACATTGGGCTAAATGATCACATATGCAGCAAAATCATCTTTTCTGCTTTCATGTCTCATATCAACAAGATGTCTACTACTCTTGCAGTGTTTAAATTATCAAATAAAAAAAATAGAAACAAGTATTTATTGTATGAAATGCAAAGTTTTTATAATATTAAAAACAATCATAAAAGTTTTAATCACAGTAACACCACAAGGCACAATAGATGCAAATAGGGGGAAGAAAGTAAAACATGTCATGTTAGAAAGAGATAAAGAGGTTACCTTTGTAACAGACGCCGGTTTGGTTCAGGAAATGTCTCTAATATGGCAGAGCGTATTGCACTTATCCGAGCTTCCTTCCCATCAATTTCTTATCCAACAAAAACGTAAAACATTATTAACTTTTACGGATACATGGAACAATTATTTTGCTAAAATGCAAACTAACTATTGAAAAAAAAATTATAAATCTTGTGAAACAATTAAAAAGAAACAAAAAGAATTAAAGAACTGTTGGGACAGAACTTGATACTTTTGACAATTAACAAATTCTTAAAATAATGAAGATGGTCTATTATAAAGTGTACCAATTGCAGCAGACAGGAATCAAACACAAACCACAAAAACAAGAAGAAAATGATACTTCTTAAACTTGGTAGAAGTAATATATGCATTTGCTCCAGGGCGTAAAGTTCAAAGGCACAAACCATAAAAAGCCAGTTCATTCAAGTCTAATCAGTTTAAAAACACAAAAATAATCAGAAAGTGGCAATGCCAATGCAGCATAACAACATTAGCAGATTCAAGACCATGACAAAGTGATTCAAATACACATAAGTAGAACCATGTCAAACCAACTAGGAGCATCTACCTTACCTTTTTCATTTTAACAAATGAGCTAACATCACAAAAAGCCCCCAACAAAATGACAACTTAACCGCATGGTTAAACATCATGCCAGAAATATTAGCTAATACCTTGGTTTTTTGCCAACTTTATCTATATATTTCGTTTCCTTTCAATTCCAGTGACCACAAAATGGACCACTTTGTCAATCATGAAATTGAAAATGCTAAGAAATAAATACAATAACCTGTCAACACAACAAAGATTCTATTCTTCCCCTTAAATACTGATGTATGTATTTCCGATAAATATTTATAGAAAATAATTAAAGGTTTTCTGAGCAATATAATGCAGGGTATTAACTGGGCAACTTTGCAGCTTCATCTACCATGTTTTAACTATATCATCTGGGGTAAAATATTCCTCTATTTACATCCATAAATTTCCCAAAAATTGGGTTCAAGCTCTAAGTGCCCAATTCTTCTATTTATTCTAGGTTTGCCATGTCAATATATGATGCACCTGAAATATGAACTCAGCATGCAAAAACTCATGGGTACAGGATAAAGCAAGCATGTGAAGCATCATAATTTCATACGGAAAGGTTTTACTTTTTCTTTTAAATATACATATAATGCACCAAATCTGTCTCAAGAATAGGTATTAGGCATTTATAAAAACAATAAATATCATCTAACTTCTTAAAGAGGTACTATCCAAATTCTAAGTCAAAAAACTTGAGAAAACATGGGTAATTGAAAAGAAAAGAAAGAGTTAAACATACTGTAAGCCTCCAGCAATGCAGTACAGCAGGATGCAGGAACTGGGGATGAGGGTAGCTCCCTCAGTACATGCTGTGGATCAACACCTTGGCTGATTAAGGAACATGAAGATTAACCTGAAAACTATAAATGGCATCATATACTGACAAAATTACCTTAACACAGTCTCCCACAACATGAGCATCCTCATCAGTACCAAATTCAGTCTTGCCTACATTACAAGAAGGAAGACAAGTAACACAGCTTAATTTGGATGGCATGTTAACAATGTAACTTATCCACAGTCAACCTAAAACAGTTGAGAAATCCAGATATGAAAACATGCCAATATTCTAAAATAATCATCAATTTGAAATGAAAAGATACCCTGCTCATATTCTTGAACTCTGCGATCAACCTCCTCAACATCTGCAGACTGACGTAGAATTCCCTCCACTCTAGTTCCTATGGTAGAAACATCATATAGTAAGTGAAAAAAATAGTAACAAAGAATCAAGAAAACATTTTCTTCACTATATCTCTTGCAGGTCTCTTCATGTAATCACTGAAATTTCCTAGTTTGTTCTTCCAAAATAGGCTTGCTAGTAATTAGTTTTACAAACTCAGCCAGATCATAAAGTTTAACTACATATCCTAACTATCCTAAATACCAGAAAAGCAATAGTTACATGTAAGGTTGTGCAATCTAGCGTAGATGATGACTCAGAAATTTAGACCAAGAATGAGGGAAAAAAATAATATATGATCAAAAGGATGTCAGTGCAAAGAAATTTTCACCTAAGGTCAACAAAATTTCAGATTATAAATACAACTGAAAAAGCAAACTGCTAGCCTAGCAAAGGATCTTAATTTGCAAGACACAGAAAGGCATAGGACCCAATGCTACAGAAAATCAAAATATCAGCAGCTATGTGGCCAGAAGAAATGTAGCAAAAAAAATTGTATTGCCAGTTTCATTTTAATCCTTAATAATTTTACTTTAAGTAACACCAATCTTACAGTTGGCTGCTATTGCAATCTGATCATTTGTGCATGTGTGGGTGTAGGTGAGTGTAAGGTCAACCCAAAACCTCCCCAAACTGCTTCTTTCAGACCACTCCCCATCTATAATATACAAAGAGAAAACTTAAAAAACCAGAGATCCTTACAGCATCATATTGTTTAAAAAATAAAGCTATGGATTTCTATGTGGTAAGCAAATGGATGGTCACAAATCTTCCCTACTTTTATGATTACAAGAATAAAACCAATTCCAAAGACTAAGACTACAAAATTTTAGACAAGACATCTGTATGTGAGAAAGACTTCACTTCTGTCAGACCTAATGAAGAGCTCAAGTAACATGAGTAATAATCAAAACTTAAAATTACCACTTACCAAACTTCTCAAGAAACTGCAGAGCTTTCTCTAGGAATGATGGGCTTCCATCAATATCTTCTAGTGCAAGCAAAATTGGTCTTCCAACAACCAATGATTTAGCAGTGCATTTGTCTCTCCCTAAGAAGAATCCAAAAACCTAATAAAACTAAGTAAAAAAATTGCAGAAGAATCTGTAGACAATGAATGATCATCAAATAAATTTAAGAAGAAACTAGGGGGAACAAACATTGATGGAATGATCCTTCAATTGTATCAGTTGTGTCATTTCGGAAAATCCCATTGTGTCCCATGACAAGTGCAGCACTTGGCGCTCGTGTGAGGGCATGTTCTAGAGCTGTCTTCCACTCATACAAATCCTCTGATGTCTCTGCCTGAATTTATAAAGCAACAAGGAAGGAATTAGCTCATTGAACATTTTCTTCAGGAAAATCACAGAGTATAAGTCATTCAAATATGTTAAAAAATATATAAAAAGTATGTAAAATAATAACTGAAACAATATCCAACTACATATGATGCACCTTAAGAGTGAAAGCCCGTCCATCACGCCCATCAGGAAACAATACAGTCAACAACTTTTTATCTTCTCTAACTACAACACTGCAAACAAGAGGAATTAAAAGAAAGACTACAGCGACAACTATCATAGAAAAAAAGCAATGACCATCCATACCTTCCAGAATTGTTCAAATCAATGCCCCCCAAAGTCAAATTAACTTCACCACCTCGTTGTGGTAGGGCACTCTGCCAGTAAATAAACTTTTAGTGAACATTCAAAACATAAAAAGCAAGACCATGATCAGATTGTCCTCTTTGCAGGAAAATAAAGCAATAAACATATATCTAAATTAAGTCCTGGAAATAAGACTTCTAACAAACATGCTAAAAAGTGAACCATGAAAATTAATAGTCTCTCCCCCTTTCCCTCTCTCTAATAAGAAATGGAGGGGAGGGGAGGGGAGAAATATATAGAAAGATCAAATCACAAAACCAATTGCATGCTCAAACATTTCACCCTCTCTCAAAACCACATGCAAAAGTTGTTATTACATCATTTCCATGCAAACCACTATGCTGGACTTGAATCAAGATGGAAACTCATATCCTAATAACTTTTGCAGAGGGTAACAAAGACTTATCTCATCAGTTTTGACCTTCTACCTACATGATAAGGGGGAGAATGGTAGACAAAATCATATTGCATTTGGTCATCATGCACTGAATATTTCACTTTTTCTAAACCAAGCATCATAAAGAGTAACATTGTAAGTATTTCCATCCAAACCACAAGGTCTGCTCTTACAACCAATACAGAATATTTATTTGCTGATAACTTTTGCAGAATTGTGTTTCAAGACCTTAATCTTTCATAACTAGATCCATATAGACCAAATCTTGATAAACTTAGCAAACAATAGACCCTAAAATATGTTGCAAAGCGAACAAGGAAGTTGCATCATGATAAGGGTGACCGGTCATAAAGTACCCCACCCTCTCAAACAGGGCAAAGGTGGTACATGTGGTTGCTAGGTCAGAAAGGTGAGTTCTCTACTGAGCCAGAGCTCCTTCCCTAGAAACCAAGTGGAGACAATCAACTCATTTTGGAGAACAATACTGTCTCGCTGAGTCAAATTCCAAGCTTAAATTCTGTCAACTCACCGAAGCCCTTAGAGTGTCAAAGAGAAGATAATAGGGAAGCAGTCCTCTTCTCAGCAAAAGAAGCTATAAAGATTCACCCGTGGCAATATGTTGCAAGGCACATGTCTATTCTCTGTGAGATGACAAAGGCAAGCATCTCCAACAGGGAGGAAAGGAAAGCATTTACTATGTGAAGAAAAACTCTTAACCTCCAAGACAAGGCACTAAAGTTATCCTTTATATCATCATAATGCATAGATTAGTTGTACTTGCAAATTTGAGTTGCCAACGACACACCAATATAAGTTACAAATACACACTAACACAGGACATAAGACTTTTTCCACAACCACCATCAATCTCACCTTAAAAAGAAAAGTTACTGTAGGAAAACACTTATTTATAGCTGGTTGTAATCTTGTAATCTGTATATTTATATTTGTATCTCTAGAATTAAGTATTTGTATCCCTAGAATTAAGGACAAAAAATTAGGATATACAATCCCTCAATTATAAGATCAATTTTAGGAAGATTTAGTTTCCTATTTTACCCACTAGTTAGTTGTATATAAACCTAAGGTGCTTGTGTAATTCTTTATGAGGAGTTTTTCAATTTACATTCAGTTTTACTCTTAGTTTTCCACACTGTTTTATATCTTAGTTTTCCACACGGTATCAGAGCTTTAGGCTCTTCTTGGAAAGAAAATTTTTTCAGCCTTCATTGCTGAATTCTATTTCAGACCCTCATAGCCAAATCTTGTTAAATCTTTCAGTCTTATTTTTTCCTTCTTTGGCCTTCATTGCCTAGAATCATCTCTGATTAAACATTTACTATCAAGACTTGTTTTAGTTCTAACAAAGATAACCATCCCAGAGATAGCAGAATTTGCCACTACTTCCCGATTTGAGGAAGTGACAACCGTAAAACCACCAGAGTACTACAAAAGTCTTGGGAACGAAGAGAGTTGGATAAAGAAGAGATTGAGAAACTAAAAAGCCTATTGAAAACTCTCAAAAAGCTTATTGGGTTATGTTCGTTGGGTAAGGTCTCCAGTTCAGGTAAAGCTTCTGGTTCTCATGAATTAAATGTCTCAGTTAAGCCTATTACAAGTTCTTGGATCATTGACTTAAGAGCTACAGACCATATGACACATTCCTCACAGAAGTTTAGTATATACCTTGTGTCCTAGTAATAAGAAAATTGTTGTTACAAATGGTTCACTTACTACAACGGCAGGATTAAGAGATGTTCAAATTAATCCCTCTTATGTTCTTAAAAATGTTCTTCATGTTCCTAGATTGTCTACTAATCTGATATCTATACAAAAACTTACCAAAGACATGAACTACAAAGTGACTTTTTATCCTTCTTATTGTGAATTTCAGGACCAAAATTCGGGAAAGAGAATTGGACTTGCTAAGGAGAAGGATGGACTATACTATTTTGAGATATCAAACAACATAAGTAATATCAAGAATAGTTTACCTTTGTCATTTCTTTCTGAAAAATTTTTCAATAAAGACAAAATCTGACTTTATCATTTTCGTCTTGGACATCCTTCTTTTGGAACTTTGAAAAACATGTTTCCTTCTTTGTTCAATGTATTAAATGTCAAAAATTTTTATTACGATGTTTGTGAACTTGCAAAGCATAAACGTGTGTCTTTTTCAGTTAACAATAAAAGAAGTTCTACTCTTTTTTAATTGGTTCATAGTGACATATGAGGTCCCTCTACAATTCTTAATATTTCTGATGCAAGGTGGTTTGTTTCTTTCATTGATGATTGCACCAAGGTCTCTTGGATATTTTTATTTAAATCCAAATCAGATGTGAATAGTGTGTTTTAAGCTTCCAAAACAAGATCCAAAATTAATTTGGAGTGAAAATCAAGATATTTAAGCTTGATAATGCAAGAGATTATTTCAACCAGAGTTTATCTACCTATTTCAAAAAAGAAGGGATTATCCATAAGTCATCTTGAGTTAATACTCCACAACAAAATGGATTGACAGAGAGGAAAAACAATCATTTACTAGCCACAACCCGAGCTTTACTTTTTCAAGCAAACGTACCCAAATCCTACTGGGAGAAAGCTGTTCTCACTGCCACACATATTTTAAATAGATTACCTTCAAAGGTTTTGGGATTTAAAACTCCTATGGAACTACTCTCACAATTCTATCCCAACTTTAATACAACAAACAATCTCACACCTAGGATATTTGGTTGTACATCATTTGTTCATGTTCACAGTCACAATAAGGAGAAGTTGGATCCTAGAGCAATTAGGTGAATTTTGTGGGATATTCATCAACTCAGCAAGGGTATAAGTGCTATCATCCTCCTACCAAAAAATTATGTGTCTGCAAATGTCACTTTTGAAGAAAGTAAATCATAGTTTACTCAACCTTATCTTCAGGAGGAAACTTTATTCATGGAAAATAAGGATAAAAACTTCTTTTTGCTTGATTTGTCCTCCTCTTCAACATTTTCACCCACTGATTCTTCGAAGTCGAAATCTGTTTCTTCTTAGTTCAAGCCAAACACTGAATTTGAGTCTGAACTTATTCCAAACACAAAAGATGTGACAAAGGATAATATTGTTCTTGATTCTATGAAGGAATTACAAGTGTACTCAAGAAGGAAAGCTCCAGATCCTGAACCAATGCAAGTCCAAAAACCTGATCCTAAGTCTGAAAATAAGGTAACTACAGTATTTGACTCCGTTTCTCAAAATGAGAGTGAATCTCCTAAAACTATAACTAGTGATTATGATCTACCTATTGCCACTAGGAAAGGAACTAGAGAATGTACTAAGCATCCATTATAGCCAATATCTAATTTTGTGCCATTTGAAAAATTCTCACCATCCCACAAAAATTTTCCTGTGAGCTTAAACACTATTTCTATTCTAATTACATTATCTGAGGCATTATCCAATGAGAAATGGAGGTAACCCATGAAAATAGAACTGGAGGCCTTAGAGAAAAATAAGACATAGGAACTAGTAGAGTTGCCTAAAGGAAAAAATCCAGTTGGGTGTAAATAGGTTTTCATTGTAAAATACAAGGTGGATGGTACTATTGAAAGGTATAAAGCCTTTGGTAGCTAAGGGCTACACTCAAACTCATGAAGTGGATTATCAGGAAACTTTTGCTTCAGTTGCGAAGATGAATACAGTTAGGATTTTGTTATCATTGATTGCAAATTACAATTGGCAGCTTCATCAATTTGATGTAAAGAATGCTATTCTACATGGTGATTTGAAGAAGAAATATATATGAAGGTTCCACCGGGATTTAGAGGTCATCTAGAAACAAACAAAGTATGCAAGCGGAAAAAGGCTTTATATGGCCTTAAATAGTCTCTTACGGCTTGAATCGGGAGATTTGCCAAAGTGATGCTCGCAAAAGGATATAAGCAGAGTCAAGGAGATCACACATTATTTATCAAGCACTCTAATTCAGGGAGAGTCACAGTTCTATTAGTATATGTTGATGATATAATTGTAACTGAAAATGATAAAAAAGAGAGAGAATCTCTAAAACAGTGTTTGGCTAGAGAATTTGTGATAAAAAAGCTAAGGAGAGTGAAGTAATTCCTAGGAATTGAAGTATCTCATTCACAACATGGTATTTTCATCTCACAACAGAAATATGTGATGGATCTTCGGAAGGAAACTGGAAAGCTCGCATGTAAACTTGTAAATACCTCTATAGATCCTAATTATAAACTTGGAAAAGCTAATGAAGATGCTGCTTTAGATAGAGAGATGTACCAAAGATTAGTTAGATGACTCATTTATCTCTCACATAGTAGACCTGATATAGCATATCTGTGAGTGTGATAAGTCAATTTATGCATAGTCCTAAAGAAGTGCACCTACAGGCTGTCTACCTTATATTGCACTATTTGAACGCCAATCCTGGGAGAGGTATCTAATTCAAAAGAAATTTGGGGCTGGTTCTAGAGGCATACACAGATGCTAATTATGCAAGTTCAGTAACTAATAGAAGATTCACCTCTGGCTACTGCACTTTTCTAGGTGATAATCTTGTGACTTAGAGGAGTAAAAAACAGAATGTGATGGCAATATCAAGTGCTGAAGCAGAGTTCAGAGCAATGGCTCAAGGAATTTGTGAACTACTATGGTTAAAGATTATCCTAAAAGATTTGAAGATCAAATGGGATGGACTAATGAGACTCTACTGTGATAACAAGTCTGCAATAAGCATTGCACACAATCCTGTGTAACATGACAAAATAAAACACATTGAAGTAAACCGGCATTTCATAAAAGAGAAATTAGACAGTGGGTTGATTTGTACACCGTATATATCAACCAATGGTCAACTTGCAGATGTGTTGACTAAAGGTCTTAACAGTGCAACATTTTAAGAAATTATTTCCAAGCTGGGAATGGAAAATACCTATTCACTAGCTTGAGGGGTAGTGTTGGAAAACACTTAATTACAGTTAGTTGTAATCTTGTAATCTGTATATTTATATTTGTATTCCTAGAATTAAGGACAAAAAATTAGGATATACAATCCCTTAATTATAAGATCAGTTTTAGAAAGATTTAGTTTCTTAGTTTACCCACTAATTAGTGTTATATAAACCTAAGGTACTTGTATAATTCTTTATGAGCAACTTTTCAATATGCATTCAGTTTTATTCTTAGTTTTTCACACAGTTTTATATCTTAGTTTTTCCACAATTACATAACAGGAGTTTCAACTCATATAACACCATAACAAGGATTCTCGAATAATGCAAAAAGATCCCTACAATCCTAAGTCAACGAACTTTAAGAAGTTTAAAAAGACCCTCAGGTTTGATGGTATTACCTTAAATTCTAGGATTCAGGTGGTGAACACATGTCAAGCCTAAAACATGTTCCAAATTTAGCCATCAATGACATAGGCGATACCCAATGAAGCAAAAATACACATACAAGATATAAGTATGATATGATACAGACATGTTGAAATGATCTTCAACAAAGTTAGATATGATACAATAAGCAATCATTAAATCTAAGATGACTATGCAAAATCCTTTCTATATCATACCTGACTGATTTGGAAGAGTTACTCTTACAAAATGATACTCCCAACAAGTTTTCACAATTTGCATGTGAGAGTCACTTGTATAACTGAAAGTTTGATTAAAAAATTGCAATATAGATGCTGATCCTTGTCAAATCAGAGTTAACATTCATATGTGGCTTTTATGAACAGAAATTGCATTTTTTTCTTGGTTTTTATCCAAGGAATACACCTCAACAAGAATCTTTCAATCTCTAAGATCCTCTCCAAAAAATTGGATTCTTTAATTCTTTCCAAACTAGTACAACATGCAAGATGTTAAGATTGATGGTAAAGATCTGATCCAAATGTCAACAAATGTTTACACTAAGCCAATAATTGATTTTATACTTAGATTTTCAAATGGAAAATATCTTCCACATGTTGTTTCCTTCAAGGCAGTGAATATACAAGGCCCTAACTCTATATATTTTCCAAAAACGTAACTTCATATGTTTAGAGTGTGATACAGATTCTCGTAATGATCATCCCATCATTTAAGTATCAACAGTCCCCAACATGTTGGTTGTACATACTTAACAACCAAACAAAAGCATATCCGTGTGTGTGTGGCATTAAATTGCTATTATCCTCTAACTAAATCAATATTGAATTAACAACCAAACAAAAGCATATCCGTGTGTGTGTGGCATTAAATTGCTATTATCCTCTTAACTAAATCAATATTGAATGACATAAAATGTACCATCAAATCCAGTGGTGGATGCAGAATTTTTTTCTAGAGGTGTCCACTTTTATTCTATATATATAAAGATTTGCCGATCAATTTATCAATTTTGAAGATGAAAAGAGTGTCCTGGGAAAATTTTGGAGTGTCCAGTGGAAATTTTTCTTATAAATTTTCTTATTTTTCAATCTTTAGGGGTATCCATGATAAAATTCTGAGGGAGCACAGTGTAAAATTTTCCTTCATAATTTCATATCTTCCAATTTTTGGGGTGTCCATGGACACCCTAAATCAATACGTGAATCCGCCAGTGATCAAATCATGCTTATGGCCAAAAAAATCCAAAGGCATTTATATAACACAGCACATCAAGAAGTGAGAAAATCTAAAATTAGCAGCATGTTGATGATACAATGGTCCACAACCACTCTCCCAAATTCCTGCGATGACTGTGTAGTATTGTCTAACATATAATCAATCATTATCCTAATCTATGTACAACCATTCTGAATGATTTAAAATACATTATTAAAGCATCCCAACAGCTACAGCATTGGAAAGACATCATATATGGATAAAAGTACAAAAAAAGTGAGGAAAAAAACAACTAACAAATTAAATATGATACAACAGAATATTGTTGTTTCTAAAATGCAAAGTCTACAATCATTATACTCAATTACTGCTTTATACGGCAATAAACATCATACAACTATGAAATTAGCAATCAGACAACAGATTACTAATACTAGCATGTCTTTGGCAGCACATAAAAGTTAAAGATTAATAGAACAGAAAAAATTTGGAAAAAAGAAATAAGCCATGCTACAATTACTCATGTAAGGGAAAGGATGATAAGTACTAACAGGATCATTTTTAAAGAACACCAAGGAAGTACGTGTGAGGATAAACCACCTCTTCTTCCAAGACTTCCAACCGATCCCTGCTGAAGTTCAACACAAACTTATAAACTAATTTTAGATAAGCTATATAGAGAATTGAATCAAAGGAGTATTTAAAAAAACATAATGATATGACTAGGCCCCACACATTTGAGAGGTCGCTAAAGGTGTATTTAAGAGAAGTAATGGAGGAAATCTCAATCCTGCTCTTGATTTAACAAATATTAATATAAAAGATGCATGTCCTCCAAGAATTTGGAGGTAATAACTGATGGGGTAAACATTATTCTGCACTTCAAGAAGACAATGTGCAAAATTAATACTGAAACCATAAATAAAGAAGAATAAATACTTGAACATGGTTTACCAAGAAGACAAGCATAAGTATGTTCATATACGATACATACATACAAATTCACACAAAGAGAGAACAAATTTACAGATATAGATATAGATACAGATATGTGCACACACAAACAGTTGAGGCAATTTATACACATAAACCTATGCCAAATAAACAACTTGCTCATTTTCATTATAAATAAAGACAATTATTCTCTCACTAATTAAAAAAAATAGATATAAGCATTATTTATACAAGTACAAGTCGTGGACAGATAGTAAAACTGTTGAGGCAATTTATATCTAAGAAAAGAATTTAAAAGTGGGGAAGAAACAGTGATAAAAAATTTTACGAACCTTTAGAGGATATGAAAAGCGGGCCACTTTTGAAAACCTGTGAAACTGTCACGTCAGAAGCCATGAACGAGCATCAACTGCCTAGTGTAAAACTAATTATACTCTCACAAAAAGAGCTTTTTATCATTTCAATGGAGCATATACAGCATATGCACCATTCGAGGTACCATTAAAAGCCAAATTTTTAATGTTATACTGTCAGTTAATGGTACCAATCAATCAATGATTGAAGCAATGATTATTTACATAATGGACTAGGCTGTTTTCTCAAGAATTACGAATGACCCATTAAATTGATTAAACAATGATTATTTACATAATGGACTAGTTCGCTTTTCTCGAGAACTATCCAGAGTTGTAGCAAAGTATGGATTCACCAGTTGACAGTAATACACGACTATAGACAGCAAATCAATTCAATAATTTATAACAAGCAGCTTGGAAACTATATCAGACTGTGGAGTACAAATTGGGGCATTCAACATCCATTGTCTCTAGGACTCAGTGGAAAAACATATTACAGCTTATAAATTATAAAACTGTAGCAATGTGAATGGAATGAAGTGTAAATTCATAGATTTCAAAAAGGCGTTGGTCAAATTTCCTAGGTTCTCCACATATCTTTTCTTTTCCTTTTTTATGTGATCTGCCCATCCGAATTTCCTTAAATTTTCTGTTCTTAAATGAAGCAATGCATTTTAAGTCACAAAAATAAATACTGAATAGCATGACAACTTTCTCATTATAAAACAATTAGAAGTTGGTTTTACACATTTTCTAAAGACCCTAGAATCAAGGGGGGAGAAGGGAAGAAAGAGACGTATGCAGACCAGTTTATTGGCACTTACTTATCACTCTATTTGTTTAAGATAAAATTCTGCTGGACATGCTTGTTTGTAAGGGTAAAAAATTATTAACCTAAAGAAAAAGTTTTACATTGATATTTCAACTATTTACATAATCAAATTCCAAAATTAAATTCCTTGGTATTTAAATTTCCCATACGTTCAATCACAATGCGTCATTTGATCCAAACAACATTCTGTTTTATTTTCGATTTTTCAAAATTTTCGCAATTAGAGTTCTCTTAAACGCCTTTCTTTCTTTCAAATTGAATGACAATAGTATTAATAAAAAAGCTGAACTTCAATTTAAAATCTCAAAATTTTTTAACTTCTAGCAAAATTAGTAATGTAAATGCCCTAATCAAGAGTTCATAATCTGGAACATCATACAATCAATCCAAAAAATGCACAATATAAAGAGCTAAAATTTTATTTTTCTATTCACATTCCATTTTCACAGAAACCGAACAAAAATTATGGCCAAAAAAAGAAACCGAACAAAAAAAACTAAAAAATAAAAGAACAAAGAATAAATAGATGTTACCGTGTTTGAGGCTCCCCCTCTGGGCTGCTCGAATGCCGCTAACGAAGACGACATTTTCGCAGATTAACATTGAAATATTCAATCAATCAAAAAAAAAAAACTCCTCAGCATTTCAACTTCTCATTTGACAATGAGTCAACACAGTAGATCAGCAAGTTATCCGAATCGAGGCAAGATCTAATAGCTTAGAGCAAATAATAAGTGAATCTTTAAGCTTAGGGTTTTTCCTTTTTTTTTTTTTTTGTTTGAAAGAAAGAAAGATTAATACAGACAATAAAGCACAATCACCAACCTGAACTACCACTCTCTGTATAAATATAAGCTATTTACCAAAAAAACACTTTCATCTCTCTAATTTTTTCTCTCAATTTCGTTTTTGATTCTTTTTTTTTTTTCTAATTTATATTTATATATAATTTATTTTGGATTAGTGGTTGTTGCAGTAATATGAAAATCCGAGAAAAAAATAGGGGTTTGCTTTTCACCTACATCACAGGTTTGGGAGAGAGAGCAAAGGTCATCTACGGTCAGTTTAGTCCAAGCTCTACTTCTTCACCACTTATAACAAGTCAAGTCATGTGAAGCTGACATGGGCATACAATTTCTTTTATTATAAATTTTATAAAATATTAATTTATACAATATAAAATTAAAAAATTGTTACGTGTTTTTAATTATTAATTTTTATATATCTACAAAATGAAATGAAATTATTTTTTTTATTTTATCAAAATTAATAATGAAAAAAATATAAAATTTATTTAATTTTAAATTATATAAATTGATTCCTTCTCTTATAAAAATCTCAAATTAAATTTGTGAGAAATCAAACAATCTTAACAAATTATAATTATTTTCCAAAAAATTAATATTGAATTTTGAGAAAGCAATTTAGTCATTTTTTTAAACAAACGAGAAAATTAAAGTTTTTACCTTTAAGAAATTTTTTTATTCCATTTGACTTCAAGTTGGTAACATTTAGCTAATGTTTCTTTAATGTACTTTTTATTTGTACAAAATTCGTATAACTATAAAAGAAAATAGTTTAAAATATTATATAAAATTTGATTAGAAATAATAAAATTTTTAATTTGAATATCTGTCATTCAACAAGTACTCACAATTTTTTTCAATTGATTGCTCATTTAAGGAAAAAAAAAAAGGGTTGATGGCACTAAAGTCCATTAAATTCAACCTAAATTTGTTTTCTTCCTCCACTCGATTGATATGGTTCAAGTCTAAAATTAAAAAATAATAAAATAATAATAAATAAAATACTGTAAAAATTAACCAAAACTAAAACTGTATAAAATTTTAAAAATAAAAATCATTAAATTATGGAAGACCTTATAGGGATGAGAAAATCAAAATTTATTTTATAAAATACCAAATTAATATAAAAATGAAACCTTTTCTAAAATGTACTAATTTTTCTCTTAAATGATAAAAAAATCGAACACAAATATTTTTATAAATTAAATTGTATTGGGAAAAAAAAAACAATTACTACTTCACTAAAGTGGGTGTTTGTTATCAAAATTTAGGTTTAAATATAAAAAAAAAATTCTTGAATTAAAATTATGTAATTATTCAAATTTTTGTTAATTTATTACAAAGTTAAGTTCTTAAATATTTTTGCATTTAATTGAACCCTTAAATTTTTTACTCAAATTGATAGAAACATGTATTAATGATTAACCAATTTTCATTCATTAAAAACTCAATTGGATGAAGATAAACATTTAAGTATTCAATTGATTACAATAAAATAATAGATGTTTGGATGATTATTTAATTTTATTAAGTTTTTTTTTTATACTTAAGCCTAAAATTTAAATATTTTCTCCGTGATTTTTATGAAAATAATGTTAAAAATATTAAAAATTTCTATAATAATAATTAATTGTATTCAATGTGCTGATTTATTCGTTTCTTAGGCTCCATTTGTTTTGTAAAAAAATGATTTTTAGAAAATAATTTTTGTATTTTCAGATACTTATTGGATAAAACATTGATTGGTTAACAAAAAATAACGTACTAGTTAATAAAAAATATGGAAAATGAGGTTATTTTTTTTAATTATCTTACAAATATGAAAAAGGGATGACATTTTTAGAAAAAAAAATCTATGAGTAGAACTATTAGCATAATTTTACTTATAAATAATATTATATTATAATATATTAATAAATAATATTATATGAATAATTAATATACTATTAATATAATATATCCATAAATAATTATTATTATAAAATATTATAATAACGTATTAATATAAATAAATAATATTATTATATTAATAAATAATAATAAATAATATAATAAATATATTAATTTAATTAATAAATATTATAATAATATATTAAGAAAATAATATACTATTAATATAATATCTTAATAAATATTATTAATAAATAATATTATATTATATTAAGAAATAATATAAATAATAATAAATATTTTATTTTAAGTATTTTTTATATTAACATAATATTTTAATATTAAATATTATTAAAAATTATTATTTTTAATATTAATAATTTTAAAATAATTTCAATATATTTTAATAATAAATAAAATTTAATATTTTAATAATTATATTGATATTATTTGAAAAAAAAAAGATTTTTCATAAAACAGTCGAAAAATATTTTTTATTAACTCATCCAAATAATAAAAATTTTCTTTTAATTCAAAAAATATAAACATTTTTCAGAAATAATTTTTTAGAAGTTATTTCTTACAAAACAAATGAAGCCTTAATTAATCTAATCTAATCATATTTAAAAAAAATAAGCTAAATAATTTACAATAATTATCTTTATTAATTTTATCATTATTATAACATATTATTTAATTTAATATATAGTAAAATAAAGTAGATAAAATGATAACTTTTGGTATTTATTTATTTTCTTTATAATATATCTAATCTTTATTTTACTGTAGACTAAATAGTAAATATAATAGCAAAACAATGATAATATGCTGAAGTACTAAACGAGCGCTTGAACTATTTTATTTAAAAAAAATTATTACATTTTTATTGTATTTAAATAAGTCTTGATTTTTTTATTTGTTTTCAAATAAAATTTTATTTCAAATGAAAAATTGATTTATATTAAGTGTTTATTTAGATACAAATTAAAAGCTAAGTGATGATTTAGATGTAAATTAAAGATTAATAATTTATTTTGATGCAATAAAAATTCAATAGTTTATTTATGCAAATTGCTAAAATTTAAGATCGTTTTTGTTATTTTATCCAAGATAATACAGAAAATTTAATAATTTATATTTTAAAAAGATTTATCAATAATTGTCTTAGGCACAATATTTTATTTATATCCTTTAATTTATAATCTATACATATATATATCTATAATCGATAATCTATCTATAATAATAATGGTTTTATATAAAAACACGAATATTAATAAAAAAAATTTCGATGAAAATAGATAATTATGTTAATTATATTTATGAATTATCATTTTAAATATTTTTGTTATAAATGTTGATAAAATTTATCCAATTTAGAAGTAAAATTTTTTAATTTTATTGAAAATATGTTATTATTTGATAAATAAAAAAATAAAATTAGTATTAAAATTTTACAAGTTAATTTGATATATTTTACATGTGAAACAAACTTTACATGTTATTATGTATTTTTTTAATTTCAGTCACTGTATAATATACAATTATGTGTGCAATATATTGTTATGGTTTAAAAATAGATAAAAGTAAATAAGAATTTAACTTTTATTTAAAATTTAAAAAAAGGTAAATGAAGTTACCAAATAAAACTAGTATTTAGTACATTATATTTTTTTAAGGAAAAAAGTTTGAATGTATTTCCATGGTCGGGAAAAGAGAGTACATAAAATTATTGTTTCTTCTACTAAATGCAAGATTTAAGACTCATTTTCTTTAGGTGGCTCAAAAATAAAAATGCATTCAGTCACTTTGATTTTATAGCACACCCTATTTATGTAAATGGACCCCAAAATAAAAACGCAGCATAGGTGTAAGTAAGGGTATAAATGATACATTAGTACTCGTAAATTATTCAAGTTCGATTAGAAGAAAACTCAAATTCGGTTCGATTATTATCGAGTCGAGCTCGATCTCGAGTAGCTTAACTTATCGATCGAGCCGAATTCAAGTATTCTTATATCCAACTCGAGTAACTCGCGAGCTTAATCGAGTTTTTATATTTAAATATATTTTTATTATTTTAATTAATAAAATATTTTGAATCTGAGTTCGAGTTTAAATTCAAGTATGAATAATTAAATTTTTATCGAGTATACGAATCGAGCTTATTTTTACATATTAATCGAGCGAGCTCAAGTAGCTCGAATTCGATCACGAATCGAATTCGAACTTCAAAAATAACACTCGATTGAGCTCGAATCGAGTATCGAGTCTCGAATTGTGAGTCGAACTCGAGCTTCTCACTATTCAACTTGATTCGACTCGATTACACCCCTAGATATAAATAATTTTTCCATCTCTTGGTCTAACGGTTAAGAGGTTTTAAAAAAGATACGTGGATGTGAGTTTTAACTCCGTCATCTCTCTTTTTCATTTTTTTTGTACGGACGTTTACTTTTTTAAAATAAAAAAACACGTGTAAGTAATTGAGCCCATCAGTTGAGTTAAATGCTGATTTTGCATAAATTAATTGGTCCCATCTTCATTCGATTTGATTAATTTTAAATTAAATTATTTAAAATTAAATTAATTAAATTATTTTATTTTATTTTTATTAATAGAATCAAATTTATTAATTTTAAAAATTAATCGACTGAATTTCGGTTAATTTTTTGATTGATTGAATAATAAATATATTTATATTAAATTATATTTTTAATTTTTAATTTCTCATATTTTATAAAAATTAGATAAAATTATCCAATAAAATATTCAAATACTAAAGTATTATATTAAAAACTCTAATAACTTATGAAATAAAATGATCCATTTCATGTATTTTTCATTTTATATTTAGATTTTGTTATATTTTGAATAAAATTTTAGTTAATTCGATTTTTAAACCGAATTAACTGAAAATCAAATTTATTCTAAAATTATTTTCGTTAACTAATCAAAATTAATGTAATAATTAACTGATTAATCGAATTAAATTAATTTGATCGATTAATTTGAATAAAACTAAATTATAAACTCCCTAAAGTTCATCTCACAAAAAATAAATTATTATAATCTTGGTTAAAAAAACACAAGAAAACAAAACCTTACATTTCACTCTTTCAATTAATTTTTAACAATTATTGGCCCTGCATTTGGAGCATTTATCACTGTACCTAATAATTTAAAACATGATATAATGAAATGATATTAATATGATACGAAAATAAGATGTGAAAATAACATAACTTAAAATTTTAGTAATAATTATATATGAGTTTAACAAAATTAAAAAATATATATTTAATATTTTCATGCCGAT